TTGCAGCTCTCCGGCTGGAGGGAGGGCAGGGAGCATCTTTTTCCCGGACGGTTCACTCACATCCTTTCACGGTGGGCTGCCCTCTGGGTGGTGGGTATTTTTCCCAGTTGTTTCATCTTTTTTAAAAAACCAGGTTTGTGGTGTGTTGTGCAGACACTTTCCACTTCTCCGTCGATGAATTTGTCGCCTGTTCTCTTAGGGCTTTGGGGTCTTCTGTTCTCCTGTGGGGCAGCAAGCAGCAATCTCAGAGGAGGTGGGCGGGGGTCCCCAGCAGGAAGGGCTTACGCTCTCTAGGACCCGTTATCTGCAGGTACAAGGTCAGAGCTCGGGAAGAAGTGGGTTCTGGAAGACGTGGGTCCCTCTGTGGGGCGCTGGGTCTTGGGGAGACCATCCCATGCTGAGTGCGGGGATCCACTGACCCCTCGGTCCCCTCCTCCATCTGGACCCTTCGTGCATCTGGCCCTTGCTTAGACAGCTGGTCGTTGGGAACCACTTTTTGAAATGTGGGTCCTGGTCACGAGTGCTGCCACCGGAATCCTCTTTCGCCTAAGTTCTTGTTTCTGGCCTCCTGTTCCTGCTCGGCAGGGGGCTTGGGGTGGGGGGATGAGACCGGGTCCACCCCACTGCCCGGTGCCATGTCCCTGGGTGTTCAGCAGCGTGTTGGAGGAATGAATGAAGACCCACCGCCTCCCCGACAGACACGGGATCTCAGGAGTCGGGGTGGGGAGGCACAGAGAAGCGAGCGGGAAGGGTCTGTCGGCGTCCGCGTGAGCCGCTCGGGGCTGGGCAGAGAGAAGGCCTCCGAGGGCCCATGTGGAGGAAAGCTCTCGGTAGCCGCCGCCCCCAAAAGAGCTCAGTGGAGGAAGGCCGCCGCCCCCTGCCCTGCCTCTGAGGTGCGGCCACACAAGCCAGCACCAGCTTGGCGGCTCAACACAACAGAAATTAGTTCTCTCAGTTCTGGACGTCAGGAGTCTGAAGTCAGTCTCACTGAGCAAACGGCCAGGTGCGGGCAGGGCTGTCCTCCAGAGGCTCCAGGGAGAAGCGTCTCCTGCCTTTTCCAGCTTCTAGAGGCCGCGTCCTGGGCTCGGGGCCCCTTCCTCCGTCTGCACAGCCCGCAGCGCAGCGTCTCCCGTCTCTCTCTGCCTCTCACCCTCCTCCTCCCTCTGATTAGGATCCTGTGGTGCCACTGGGCCCCTGGGGATCCAGGGTCATCCCCATCTCAGGGGCCTTAACCCATCTGCAAAGTTCCCTCTGCCACGTGAGGTGACATGTCCACAGGTCCAGGGACAAGAACCCTGCACACGTGGGAAGTCTAGAACCTCTCTGAGGCTCAGCGGCCACACGTCAGTGGTGTCGCTCCTGCCTGCCTCACGGGCATCTGCCAGCTGCCGCAGCGGGCGTAGCCGGTGGACAGAGGGGCTGGTCTGGTGGGGAGGGCACACCGCGGGACGTACTTGCTGGACTGGAAGGAGCTTGGCGCACGCCAGCTCTGGGATGCTGAGCGTCTTGGCAGCAGCTCCTAGCTCATCCTGGGAGGCCCGTCCCCGCCCCACGTGCTCCGGGACGACCACAGCCTCCGGGCTCTGCTTAACTTCTGGTGCGTCCGAACTGTTGTCTGGGCCCTGCGGTCGCTGCAACAGACCAGCCCCCCGGCCTCCCGGGGGGCCCGGGGACGTCTGCGTGGCGGCGTTGTCTGTGAGCGGAGGGGCTGTGTTTCCATCTGGAGTGAGCGCCTCTGGGCCGAGAGGGTTAGACCGCGGTGGCCACAGCGTGACCGGCCCCTGTGCCTGGGGAGGCCTCGCTCCTCCAGACCCGCCGGCCCTGGGCTGTTCTGCTTGGGGAGCGCGAGCTGCGGACTTTCTCTGGGACGTTCATGTGCGGCACCGGTGGCCCCGTGGCCTGCGGCTCATCTGGAAGAGGAGCGCGTGGACCGAGTGCGGCCTTCGCCTCGTGCCCTGTGGGCCCGCTGCCGGGGCTGACTGCGCGCCACGGCCAGGGGGTCAGCTGGCCTCTCCATCTGGAAAGCGGGGGAGCAGCTCACTGGCCCAGCCCTGGGAGAGTACCCACTGACGGCGGGAACTCACCAGAACAGAGCCGTGACTGCTCCTCTGTGTCTGGCCCCCGTGAACCCCACTCACGGGACGCTTGGTCACGGCGGCTGCTGGTCCCCCGGGGGCCAGGTTCTGGTTCACACGCGGCCTGGCGCTGAGGTCAGTGAGATGACCGGGCCTGCCCTCCGGAACCTGCCCTCCAGACGGGTGTCACCTCCTGGGTCAGGTGCTCAGCGGGCATCTCCTGTCCTGAGTATGGCCGTTCTGCCCGGGAATGGTCAGGTGCATGGTCAGGTGCAGTGAGGACACATGGGGCGCTGGGCGTGGCCTGGGCCCTGGGGGGGGGCAGCGGAGGCAGGGCCAGGCTGGCGGGGGCGGGGGCGGGGGGGAGGAGGAGTGAGGAAGGCTGCAAGGAGGGAGCTGGCCGTGAGCCACTTCCTGACACTGTCCTGTGGCCGTAATGGAGCGGACGTGTCTGGGGACCTCTGCCAGGGCAGGGTGGGAGGAGGGGGCAGGAAGCCTGTGGCCGAGAAGGGATTTACCCAGGGCTTCACTGTAGGCCCAGTTTTCCCAATAAGTAGGAGGCCCGCTCTCTACCGAGGTGGGGACGACAGGGCTTGGGGGTCCGGGCTGCCGCAGGCTCCGAGGAGCCCCAGGCCGAGTGGACAGAGGGCTGTGGGCATGCTGGGAGTGGGTGGGTGTGGACGGCTGGGGCCCTGGGCAGGAGGGTGGCCTGGGCTGGTGCGGGCACCTGAGTCAGGAAGCCGCACAGGGGAAACAGTAGATAGACTCACGAGCTCCTAACGTGGCACGTGGCATGGAGCAACCGCGGTGACCGCTGGCTGCGGTACCAGCCTCAGAGTCCCACCCGACGGGCTGGGCTCTGGACAGGCGTCAGCCGTCCGGCCTCGGGCCTGGGCCGCACCGAGGCGACCCTGTGCGTTCCATAACTGCAGGAGAGAGACAGGGATCCGGCAGGCTCGCGCTGGTGCTTCAGCCACACGGTGCACAGTGTCTGGGGGCCCAGGAACCTGTCGGAGGGGCTGTTTGGGGACGTGAAAACGGGAATCAGGCAGATCCGCCTAAATACTCGTCGTCTGGTCGCCCGCCGAGAGGGACGTGGACGGGGCAACCTCAGGTTTGTTCCCCTGTGACGCTGAGCTGGTACCTTCCTCAGGTGTCTTTTTCTTCAGGGGACGGATGTCTTTAGTCTCCTTTCTGTCTCTGTGGATGTGACTCCTCTAGGGGCCTCCTGTGAGGGGACCACACAGTGTCTGTCCTTCTGTGTCTGGCTCATGGCACTGAGCGTCACGTCCTCAAGGTCCATCCACGTTGGAGCAGGTGTCAGAATCGCCTTCCTCTTTGAGGCCGAATAATAGTGCAGCGTGTGGATGGACCGCGTCTTATCCGTTCCTCCGCTGACGGCCACTGGGGCTCATTTCTCCTTAGGGCTGTTGTGAATCGTGCTGGTTGGAACGTTCTAGGACGCATCTTGGTGTGGGCCGGTGACACCTGTGAGTGGAATTGCCGGGTCACGCGGCTGTACGTCTGACTCCTTGAGGAGCTGGTGGTGGGGGCGGAGTCAGTGTTTCATGGGGACGAAGTTTCAGTTTGGGAAGATGGAAAGTTCTGGAGACGGATGGTGGGGATGGTTGCCCAATACTGTGAATGTGCTTCACGCGTTGAGCTGTGCACTTAAAATGCTTATGATGGTAAACTTTATGTTATATGTGTTTTACTGTAATTGTGTTTAAAAAGGCAAGCGTTGGCTTCACAGGAGCGCTACACCCAGGAACTCATACTCTTTATTCTGGTCAGCGTCTGCCTTTTGACATCCTCCATATTTGGTCTGTTGTCACCGGTGCCCGTGGAAGCCCTCAGGCTCCGTCCGGGGGAGCAGAGTGACAGTGACGGGCCAGAGGCAGCGGAGGGGGGTGTGCTGCAGGCTCCTGGCAGGGGCTGCCGCCATCTGCTGAGCCCCCGTGCCGTGCTGGACACTCTTGCTCCCCCTCCGTGGGCTCTGCGGTGTCCCCAGTAGGGCGGGGCTGGCAGACCTGTCTGCAGAGGGCCGGGCGGCGCGCGTGCTGGCAGAAGGCAGCCAGAGGTGTCGTGCACACGCATGGGCGCGGGCGGGCCTGCTCGTCCCTGGGCCCGCGTGTGCCTGCCCTCCCCGCGGGGAGAGCGTCCTTCCCTGTGAGGCGGCCGCTCCTCCGGCCTGTCCTCGAATTCACACAGCCCCTGCCTGCCTCAGATCTGCTCTTCTCTCTCGAGAGTGTTCTCCAGCCTCCTCTTGCTGGCACGCTCACTCTTCCTCAGAGAGGCCTCGCGGGTTGGGCTGAGCTCGGTGGAGCTGGGTGTGAGCGTGTCCGTCCTCTGGAGGCCGGTGTCCCTGGGACCCCGCCTGGCCTGGCCCGGAGCCCGGGTACTGGCTGGTGCCCGGCGTGCCGTCGGCTCTGGCAAGTCCTGGGGAGTGAACCGGAGCTTATCAGACCCGCTCCCACTCATGCACGTGTACACACACACACACACACACACACACACACACAGACCCTTACCCTTGTAGGCTGGCCGGCCCTCACGGGGCCTGAGGAGCAGGGACAGGGTCCCATGGGTGGTTCGTGACCTCGGAGGGTCTGAAGCAGGAAAGTGACGAGATGGGGAGCGTGGGTCAGGGGAGGGCCTGGGGTGAGCCCCCGGGGACAGGTGGGAGACGCTCTAACCAGGACGAGGGCGAGGGGATCTGGCAGAAGGGCCCCCATGGAGGGCCCGGACAGGAGCCTGTTCGTCCCCGTCACGTCCCCCTCTGGCTCCCGGGCCAGTGGGGGCGGCCGAGCCCGCACTCTGGGCTCCTGCGAGGAGGCCCCGCGACGTGGGGGGGACTCAGCGTCCCCAAGGAGTGCCCTGTGGTCACCACGCGGTGCTGGGGGCCACTCCCGCTGACCCCTCCTGCCCTTCGTGCCCCAGGCTGACCGCAGCTGGCTGACCCTGCCGGGTGACCTCGGCCGGCGGGCCACGCCTGCCCGGCCTCGCCATGGACCAGGACTATGAGCGGCGCCTCCTCCGGCAGATCGTCATCCAGAACGAGAACACGATGCCGTGCGTAAGTGCCCACAGCCTGGCCTGCGGCGCCGTCCTGGCCCCGTGGAGCGGGGCAGGCGGGGGGGGGGCTGCGGTGTGTCTCTCTTAGGAGGACACCAGCGTTAGATTCAGGGCCCCACTCCACGATGGCCTCGTCTTGACTTGATTCATCTGCAAAGACACCCCACGTCCCCTAACCAGCGGTCAGGACTTCAGTGTGTCCTTTCGGGGGACACAGTTCACCCACAGCAGATCCCTCACAGAAAGAGGACGTTCCAGGATAGTCGAGCGGGCCGGAGGGTTCTCTGGGGGCGATGCCCCGCCCTCACTCCCCAGTTCAGGTGGTCAGGTTGGGGAGCAGTGGGAGAAAGTCCGTGCGTGCGGGAAGTCCTGGGGCTGCAGGCTCCCAGCACTTGGGGGGTAAATGTTCTTCAGTCCGTACTTTCAACGTGTCTGTCCACTTACGATGGCTCAGAAATAAAGGCACGCAGCGGAGGGCCAGTGCTCCCAGGCTGTCGCCCCAGGCCTCCTCCCGCCCGGCGGAGCTGGGAGGGCGGATGAGCCCCCCGACGCGGGTGCCGCCCGCAGGGTTCCAGCACATGAGTTATTCACCAGAGTGTTGGACCTCTGCCCGCGGGTTTCCAAGATCCAGCCCCCATTCAGCCAGTGCCAGGGGGCACGGCGGGTGGGCCGGCGCAGGGTCCGAGCGGAGAGGCTGGCCTGGGCGGTGCGCGCTGGGGCCTCCGGGGCACCCAGGCCCGCCCTGCCGTCCTTCCAGGTGGCGGAGATGCGGCGGACCCTGACGCCCGCCAACTCCCCGGTGTCCTCGCCCAGCAAGCACGGAGACCGCTTCATCCCCTCCAGAGCCGGCGCCAACTGGAGCGTGAACTTCCACAGGATCAACGTGAGGCCCCCGAGGGCGGTGGTCGGGGTGGCACCGCTGACCGCGCAGCCCGCCTGGCTGGTGCATCCGGCTCATTCCCCCTCCGTCCGTCTCCCGCAGGAGAACGAGAAGTCCCCCAGCCAAAACCGGAAAGCCAAGGACGCCGCCTCGGACAACGGCAAAGGTCAGCACTCAGCCCCGCCTGGCCCCCCTGGTCCTCGGACCGCCCCCCCCACCCCGGCCCCCGCCTCACCGAGCTTGGTGCCCGCAGACGGCCTGGCCTACTCAGCCCTGCTGAAGAACGAGCTGCTGGGGGCCGGCATCGAGAAGGTGCAGGACCCGCAGACGGAGGACCGGAGGCTGCAGCCCTCCACGCCCGAGAAGAAGGGCCTCTTCACGGTGAGCCCCACCGCCGCGCCCACCGCCAGCTGGGACAGAGGTCCCTGTCCCCCAGGGCCAGGAGACGGGGCTGGGGGCACAGACCATCCGGGCTCACCTCGCGTCCCCGGCCGCCTGCGCTGCGTGGATCCTCCGGGCCACCAGTCCGGCCTCCTTGGGTTTCTCCTCCCGCACCAGCCCCTGGGGGTCTAGAGTCCCAGAGATGAGGGGGCCCGTTAACCCCGTGCCTTGCCGCCAGGGGCACAGGGCTTCGGGTCTGCGGGTCCTGGGCTCAGCAGGTGTCCCCCACGTCCCCAGTATTCCCTCAGCACCAAGCGCTCCAGCCCCGACGATGGCAACGACGTGTCTCCCTATTCCTTGTCCCCTGTCAGCAACAAAAGGTGAGTCCTCGACTGTGCAGGTGGCGTGGGCAGCTAGGAGGTGCCCGGGAGCCGCCATCAGTCCTGGGACTGTGCAGGGTACAGAGGTGGCCCGGAGGACCCCCCTCGCTGGGACATGCTGCAGGCCCAGACCTGGGGATGGGAGTTAGGGAGGGCCCTCCAGAGGAGGTGCCAGGCAGAGGGGATGACATGGCTGTCAGAGCTCAGGGTGGCCTGGCATCCAGTGGCAAAGGGGTCAACAGCCTCGGGGTCACCACAGGTGTGGGAGACGTGGGTGGCAGTTGGAGGGCGGGAGGGACGGGAGACCGCATGGTGGAGCCCACAGCGCAGGGCCACGGGGAGGGTGGTGTCTGCGCAGCTGCGTTAGGTCACGCGGGTGCCAGGTCACCGTCCCAGCTCTCCCCGCAGCCAGAAGTTGCTGCGGTCGCCACGGAAACCCACCCGCAAGATCTCCAAGATCCCCTTCAAGGTCTTGGACGCGCCCGAGCTGCAGGACGACTTTTACCTGAACCTGGTGGACTGGTCCTCACTCAACGTGCTCAGCGTGGGGCTGGGGACCTGCGTGTACCTGTGGAGTGCCTGCACCAGCCAGGTGGGTGCCGCAGAGCGTGTGTGCAAGTGTGTGTGCGTGCGAGTGCACAGATGCACGCCTGGGGGTCACAGAGCGGCGTCCTTCCCTAGCTGAGCTGGGCGGGGGCCTGTGTGAGGGGTGTGAATGTTGCTGGGGCCGTCCAGAGCCTGGGGCAACACCCAGTGTGTCCCCACCACGAGAGCACCCTCAGTGTGCAGACCGGGATTGGGGGTCTGTCAGCAGGTGTGAGCGGAGGCCCCGTGCCCCTCCCTGGGAGGGCTGGCTCCCCGGCCTGCGCAGCAGCCTGTGCCCCAGTCAGCAAGAGAGGGATGGGTAGTCTAGCCCTGCTGAGCCTGGGGCCGCCGTGAGGCCACTTCCTCGATGGAGTGTGTCGTCCTCCCCCTGCCCCCGCAGTAGATCTTGGAGTGGCTGCTGGGCGCACCGAGGGCTCGGCCTGCAGGGCACGAGGGTGCTGCCCCCCAGGGTGGGTCTTCTCAGGGACAAAACCAACACAAGTGGGTTCAAGAGAAGGCGAGCGCTGCGCCTGCAGAAAGAGGGCCGGCACCCCCACCCCCACCCCCCAGCCTGTGGCCTGCCCCTGCGGGAGGGACCCCTCTGTGTGATGCCCTCGTCACCTGAGCATCCCCCAGGCCCTGTGCAGCCTCCCGAGCACCCCTGCCGCATATGTCCGGCTCCCGGTGCCAGTGTCTGCCGGCCAGAGGTGTGAGTGAGTGGGGGGATGAATGAATGAGTGAGTGAACGAATGATTGAGCAGGCAGGCGAGCGGGCAGATGGACAGATGGGTGAACGGACGTCAGGGCCTTGAAGGCCCAGCGGGGCAGCACGTCACCTCACACTGACCGATCCCCCTTCCCCCAGGTGACCCGGCTCTGCGACCTCTCAGTGGAAGGGGACTCGGTGACCTCCGTGGGCTGGTCTGAGCGGGTCAGTACACAGGCCCCCCTGCTGGGCAGGGTTGGCGCCGGGGAGGTCTGGCCAGGCCTTGGTGGCAGGCCTCCGCAGTGTTGGGGACTCGGAGACCCAGAGGAGCAAGAACCCAGCCTGGAGGTCACTTGTCCAAGCCCCAGGCGTGACGTCTGTGCCCTCACTTGTCTCCAGTCTGGTGGAAGTGAGACCCTGGGTTAGATGTGGCCCCACAGAGCTGCTCGCAGCCCCCAGTGCACGTTGGCTGGGTTTTGACAAATCTACACACTGTGTGGCCGTCCTCCCAGGAAGTTCCGAGGGAGGGTATCACCTTGCTCCAGAGGGACGTGTGTTAAAGATCTTTTAAAAAGCGGCCCCAAGGCCCTGGGCGAGGAGGGGGAGGGGACATCCCGGGGAGGCATCCCCACGCGGGGCCTGATGCCCGCTCTGCCTGTGTTCTTGGTTCTAGGGGAACTTGGTGGCCGTGGGCACGCACAAGGGCTTCGTGCAGATCTGGGACGCGGCCGCGGGGAAGAAGCTGTCCATGTTGGAAGGCCACACGGCGCGCGTCGGTGAGAAGCCGCCCTGGGGTGGCGTGCGATTCCCCCCGAGGCCGGGCCTCGCCCCCGCCCCGCCTCCCTGGTCCTCACCGGCCCTCCGCCCCGCCCTCTCACCTCCACTGGGCCCCGCCCCCTCCCTGGCCTGGGCTCGGCCCGCTCTCGCCTCACCCGCCCTCACCTGGCCTCCAGGGGCGCTGGCCTGGAACGCTGACCAGCTCTCCTCCGGGAGCCGGGACCGCATGATCCTGCAGAGGGACATCCGCACCCCGCCCTTACAGTCGGAGCGGCGGCTGCAGGGCCACCGGCAGGAGGTGTGCGGGCTCAAGTGGTCCACAGACCACCAGCTCCTTGCCTCGGGGGGCAATGACAACAAGGTAGGCGCCCCGGCCTTGGGCTGTTCCTCCTGTCTGCAGGGGGGGTGGGGGGCACCCCAAGGGGGTCCCCAGGGAGGATGTGGCGGGCTCTGAGGGAGGGGGCCGGGCGGGCTGCTGCTGCCGCCCCCCTCACGGCCTGGGTCCCCAGCTGCTGGTCTGGAACCACTCGAGCCTGAGCCCCGTGCAGCAGTACACGGAGCACCTGGCGGCCGTGAAGGCCATCGCCTGGTCCCCGCACCAGCACGGGCTGCTGGCGTCCGGCGGCGGCACGGCCGACCGCTGCATCCGTTTCTGGAACACGCTCACGGGGCAGCCGCTGCAGTGCATCGACACGGGCTCCCAGGTGTGCAACCTGGCCTGGTCCAAGCACGCCAACGAGCTGGTGAGTGCCGCCGGGCGGGGCGGTGCTGGTGGGCGGGGAGCGGGAGCCGGGGCCCTGTCTGGGCCTCCTCGGTCCCGGGGTGAAGCCAGGCCCCTGCCACCCAGGTTCACAGAACCCCATCTCAGGCTTCGAGTGCCTCGCCTGGCAACCCCGGGGGGGGCTGGCAGAGCCTCAGGTCAGCGTGGCCCCTCTCAGCCCGGTCATCACCCGAAGCGCGGGGGCGGGGCTGTCACCGTGGTCTGCACCCGCCGGACAGGCCTGGCGTCCTTGTTCTCGGGGCGCCCCAGGTTCCCACAGCTCCTCTCCACCCCCAGGTGAGCACGCACGGCTACTCGCAGAACCAGATCTTGGTCTGGAAGTACCCGTCCCTGAGCCAGGTGGCCAAGCTGACCGGGCACTCCTATCGGGTGCTGTACCTGGTGAGTCCCCCGTGGGTTCTGGAAGCAGTGCTGGGGCCGCCGGAGAAGCCCGCCCTGGGCCCCGGAGAGGGGGACTGAGCTGGTCCAGCGGTGGGCGTGGGGCTGAAGGGCAGGGCGGCCCGTCTGCAGGTGTCCAGTGCGTCGTCACTTGGAGCCTCTGTCACCCAACTCCCCGCCCCGTGAGCACGGGGAGCTCTGCTCTCCTGGAGAATCCCCCGTGTGTGTGTTTATGGTCGCACACATGCGGCAAGTGACCCACGTGCGAGCCTCAGACCACCTCTGTGGACGTTTGCACGGGCCTGGAGAAGGGAGGCCCCTCCCAAGACACATTCCGCCTTCAGTCATTTTTTTGTCTTTCCAGAAAAAAACGTTTTGTGCTCAAACCAGCACATCCTTTGCGCAACTGCACAGAATACACAGTCCGTCTTGGGGGTGGGGTGGGGAGGCGGCGGCCTTCGTGTGTCTACGAGAACGCTCCACCCTGGTTCTGCTGGCACGCGCGGCCCGGGCCTTGCCCTTCCGGCCCGCAGCCTGTGCGCACTGGCGGCTTTGGGGGCCCAGCCCCCTGCCCCAGCTCCTCCGCCATCAGCGGTGTCCTCGGGGCAGCCTGCAGGGCTCGAGGGCAACGGGGGTCTCTCTCCTCCCGCAGGCCATGTCCCCTGACGGAGAGGCCATCGTCACCGGTGCTGGAGACGAAACCCTGAGGTTCTGGAACGTCTTTAGCAAAACCCGTTCAACAAAGGTAAAGTGGGTCGGTATCAGCGCCAGCCCTCCCTGCACGCCCCTCGGCCTGTCCGGGACCGTCCCCCACCTCCTGCTCCTCCCGCGTCCCCTCCTGGCGGGAACCTCCCCAGGTCTCCCCTGGGTCCCCGCGCCCCCTCTCTCTGCTCCTGCATCGCTGCGCACCCCCAGCCACGTTGCACAGGGCTCTCGGGGCTTGGCACCCCCCACGTCTCGGGGCGCTGGGGGAGGCAGCCACACAGGCGCCACTCTGGCCTGAAGCTTCCCCCGGAGCTGCCCGGCACCCGACCCCTGGGGAAGCCGCCCGGGGCCGCGGGCTCAGCGGTCGCCCTGTGTGCCCCACAGGAGTCCGTGTCCGTCCTCAACCTCTTCACTAGGATCCGGTAAACCGCGGGCTGCACCGTCCTGGTGGGAGACCCTGCCTCCTCAGCGTGCATGGACCCTCCCCCACACACTGTCCCCAGAGGAAGGCAGCCAGGGGGGGCGGGGAGCCGGGCCCGGAGAGACCCCGGAGATTCTCATTAAAGCCTGATTGCGAACCTCTCAGCCGCTGTTTGGGGCGGGGACGCCGTCGGGCACCGTCAGGAGCGGGCTGAGGCCCTCCACGCCGGGCGGCCCCCTGGCCCTGGCTCGGACCATCTGCACTCGGAGACGGATGGACGCCTCCCGGGCCCCCGCCCGCTGCCCTGTGTGTGCATCACGTCCTCGCTGGGCTGCATGCTCTTCCCGGAAGCACGTGCTCACCGCTGCCACCACCGCCCACACCTGTGCTGGGACACGACTGGACGCCAGGCCGGCCAGCCCGGCAGGAGGACCCGAGCGGCTGGGCCTGGGCGGACGGCTCGGGGCGGCCGTGGATCGAAGGGACGTTTGCACCTGTGGAGTTCCTCTGCGACCGCCTCTGCTCTCCCTGCCTGGCAGCCCGGCCCGGGGGCTCTCCGGGGAGCAGGCCCGGGCAGCTGCGTGCTGGAGGCTCGTCTCGAGACGGACTCGTCCGCGGGAAACTGAAGTGGGATCCGCTTGCTGTCACGTCCTCACCCTGACCCCGTGCTTGTCACTTACGAGGTCACAGCCCCGATCCATCCGCAAGTGGGACTCGGGTTCCTGTGGCGTGCTGGGCGGCCGGTCAGGGTGACCTGAGGGCAGAATCGCCCCCAAGGGCCACCCCTGTGGGCGCCTGGCCGTCCCCTCCAGGCTGCCCTGCTGGGTCCTGTCCGGCTGCGCCTCCAGCCGTGGGGCAGCCAGCTGGTCCCCCAGAAACTTCCTGAGCTTCCCGGACCCTGGTCCCACCTCGTCGTCCTCTGCCCTGTCCCCCGCTGCGCCTGGCCCCCCACCTTATCTCCAGGAGGGAGGGAGGGGCCGGGCTGTGGCGGGGCGGGCCTGGGTGGGGTGAGGGTCCTCTGCCGGAGCCCCCGCTCCTCTGGGTGCCGGCAGCCTGTGCTCCCCGCACCGTCGGCCACGTGCGTGCATGTGTATATATGTATCTGTGACTTTTCCTTGGGTTTGTTCTTGTGTTTCTGTAGAGGGTCCTGGAAATGTGTGAGGCTGGCCGGGGAGGGGCAGTGGGCAGCCGGGGCGCGGCTGCCTGGCCTCGGGGCGGCTGTGGGACCGCCTCCCCGGCCCTCCCTGCGCCTGCCTGCGGCAGGGACGGGCGAGGGACCGTGTACATAGATGTGTGCATTTTCATCGCTCGAGACCTGAGTTTTGTTTGTTTGAGTCCTTTTTTCAATAAGAAAACAGTCCCGTCTGCGGCTCCCCCGCCCCGTGCAGTGGCCAGAGAGCCCAGAAGCCCTCTGCGCGAGTGACCGCGTGCCGCCCAACTGTGGTGCCCGCGCCCGGGAGTAGAGACAGGGGCCGCAGACCGTGTGCGGAGCAGGGGGCGGGGCGCCCGGCCGGAGCCGGCCTGTGTCTCGTGCGCTGCCGCGTCGCTGTCGTTAAAGCAGTGTGGGTTCACGCACGGCCGGGGCAGGCTGTCCATCAGTCTGTCTGGTCCCCCCAGCTGGGGCAGGGCCGACAGCTTGAGTCTGCAGTGCACACACCGGGGCCCCAGACCCCTGAGCATCACACGCAGGCGGCCAGCAGCTTGTCCAGGGCGAGCTGGCTGTGGGGACCACTTGTGGGCAGTCTGGGGGGGTACCAGTGTCCCTGAATCCACGATCCAGTGGGGCTGAGGACATGGGTTCACACCTGTCCTTGTGGCCCAGCCGGGTTCCCGCCCTGCCGTGGGGAGGGGCTGCCCTCCCCTGGTTGCCAGAGGAGCATGGGGCCGGGGTGGTGGTCTGTGCACGCAGTGAGAGCTGGGGCCGGGGGGGCCACCTGCGCCTGACGGCCGGGGAGCCCGAGGCCAGCGGGCCATCACGGGCCCTGCGTCCCGCACGTGGGGAGGCCTGGGCGTGCTGGATGGGGTGGGCTGGGGCGAGAGGGCTCTGTTGGTCCTGGGATGTAGCGCTTGCGATCGAGGGGAAGGGGAAGTAGTGATGGCACAGGGGAGCGAGGAGGGGGAGACGGGGCCTCCCGTGAGTGAAGGGGCGGCAGGGGCCAGGGTGCCGAGGGTCTGCAAGGAGCGGAGAAGAGCGGTGGTTTGGGAGTGGCTGAGGGGAGCAGGAGGTCCTGGGGCTGGAGAGGAAAGCCGGCCCAGGCCACAGGGCTGCGAGGGGAGGCTCGGGTTGGCAACGTGGGGTGGGTCAGCAGGCCAGGGGTCCCTGGGGTGTTGAGAAGAGGGCTGAGGCCCCCTGCAGCGAGCAGCTGTCCACGACTGGTGGAACACGCCAGGCCCTTCCCTCCGGGTGAAGATCCCCGTCCTGGGCAGTGGGGATGAGAGGTCGGACCCCAGACCCCACCCAGGGGAGCTTCTATTGTGGCATGTGAGTGGGACGATAGAGCCCTAAGAAGCACATATGGCTGTCCCAGTGTGATGGTGGTAAGAGGCCTTGGGTCCAGGGCTCGCCACAAACCTGACATTTGAGCCATGGCCTGAGGAAGAGCAGGGAGACACCTGGGCAGAGGGTGTTCCAGGCTGCGGGCACAGCCTGTGCAAAGGCCCTGGGGCAGGACCAGGCCTGGTGTGTTGGAGGAACAGCGAGGAGGCCCATGTGGCTGCAGCAGAGGGAGCGAGGGAGGAGGGAGGGCAGGGAGGGGACGGGGCAGGTCGTGCAGGGCCTGGGGGGCCACGGGGAGGACTTGGGCTTCTTCCCCGGGAGAGGGGGGAGCCCTGGGTGTGTGCTGACACAGGAAGGGATGAAATCGCTGTGTGGAGAGCTGACAAGAGCGGGGCAGGGGCGCAAAGAGACCAGGGAGGGGGCTCTGCCTAGGAGAGTGATGACATGAGCGTGGCCAGGACCAGGTGGAGGTGGTGAACAACGGGCAGATTCCGGATTTTTTGTTATATTTTTAAAATTTTGATAAAATATGCATAACATACAATTTACTACCTTAAACTGTACAATTCAGTGGTTTTTAGTATATTTATTATGTCGTGTTGCCATCACCACTAATTCCAGAACATTCCATCACCCCAACAGAAGCCCTGTCCCCATTATCAGTCATCCCCACCCCCTCCCCAGCCCGACCACCAGGAAACCACTCTCTGTCTGTGGACATGCCTGTTCTGGACATTTCACATCAATGGAATCACACACCGTGTGTCATTCTGTGTCTGGTTCTCTCACTGAGCGTTGTGTTCAGGGTCTGTCCACAGTGTGGCTGTGTCAGGGCTTTACTCCTCTTCAGGGCTGCGTCATATTCCAATGTGAGTGGACACGTGTGGATCCATTCTGCAGCTCGTGGACACTTGGGCTGTTTCCACCCTTTGCCTACTGTGAATCGTGCTGCTATGAACACGCATGGACACGTTTCTGCTCTGGTGTATTCTGGAAACAGATGAAGGACTGGATGGGGCTGGCGTGAGGAGAAGAGAGGAGCTGGGGACTGGGGGGTCCCAGCCTGAGCACCTGGAAGGATGGAGCTGAGGGTGTGGGAGGGAAATTCAGAAGCTTCATTCAGCTCAGAGGCCCCCATGTGGGAGCGTTGGGAGGGGGCCCAGAGAAGAAGTGGGAGGGCTGAGCCCCAGGTCGGGGTGCACGGAGCAGGGGTCAGGGCAGTGCACCCTCAAGGCGGGACCCACCCAGGCATGCCCCGCCCCCTCTTCCAGCCCCTGCAGTCCCGTCCTGGCACCCTCAGCCCGGGGTGGGGGAGGGAGTGGTCTGGATGGGGCCAGGGCTGGCCAGCACAGTTGCCAGGACACCGAGGGCGGCCTTTGTCGCTGTCAACAATAGTCCCCAGGCCTTCTAGGCCAGAGCGCCCCGGGACCCACAGGCAGACATGGAGAGCCTGCAGCGGGAGGCTGCCCGGCCCTACGTCCCCCGGGGGACCCTGGAAATGGACTTCCCGGCCCCTCTCTACAGGTGGGTGCCTGCCTGCCCCCGGGCGCGGCCTCTCCGGGTCTCAGGCGTTTCTTCCTCGTACGAGGCCCCTTGGTGCTGCACCCTCCCCATCCTACCCCGGCTCTCCTGCATCTCCTGCCCCACCCGCGCCGGTACCCAGCTCCCCCGGCGGGCAGGGTGTGCACAGGGGAGTGCTCGCCACGTGCGGACAGGCGCACACAGGCAGCACAGGGAGCGGGGGTCTGCGTGCGTGCCCTGCAGCCTCTGTAGGAGCATCCTGTCCCGGCTTTGGAGGCCAGAAGTCAGGGGTCCAGGGGTCAGCTGGGCTGCTACCTCCTAGGCCGTGAGGGGGACTCTGTCCCGTGTGCCCCCAGCTTCCCGTGACTTGCTGGCGATCCTGGGCGTCCCTCGGCGTGTAGCTCCATCACTCCAGCCTCTGCCTGCATCATCACAGACCTCCCCGTCTGTCCGGCTGTGGCCAGACTCCCCTCTGCGGACAAGGTCGCCCGCCGTGACCAGGGGCCCCCCTCCCCCAGTGTGAGCTCATCTCAACAAACTACACCCAGGCAGACCCCACTTCCAAAGGGCACGTCCTGCGATTCCGAGTGGACGTGAACTTGGGGGACACTTTCAGGAGAGCGTCCAGGCATAAGTGACTGTTGAGATAAACTATATGGATTACTACACAGCTCTAAAAAAGTAGATGGGTGAATGCCCTTTGTGCTGCTCTGTTTCCGAGAAAATTAGGTCAAAAAAAAGATGGGACACCATGAGTGAGGCAGATCCCCACACAGGTGTAGTGGCACGGGCGTGCGCACACACACATGCCCACTGCCGCCTTCTGGAAGCAGGCAGAAGAAAGAGTGGCAGCCCAGGGGCAGGGGACTGGCGGTGGGGTTCAGAGGGGACACTTGTTTTCATGCTATTATTGATTTAAATACCAGGAGATCTCTTGACTCTAGACCAAAACGGCATTCATTTGTCACGAGAAGAAACTTTTCTTCTAGCTATAATGGGATGTTCTTTGTCTTTTTAATGAGGGATAATTGACAACACAGACTCACTGTCCACTGTTACTATTTTAGACTGAACTGCATTTTACAAAGCACATGCATTTTGCAGTTCAGAAACGGTTCACTGCCAAAGAGTGGGGTACCACACATGATCTCGAGGTCCCCCCTGGGGTGGCCAACCGAGTCGGTGTCGGGTTCCTGAGGCTCACGTTCCGGAACTGCCCAGTTTTTTCTTTTTTTCTTAAAATGACCCCAGAAATACTTAGAAAATCTACTGAAGCAATTTCCATTGCAGATACATTCTGTGTATTTCATCGGTATAAGGTTTATCCATACAAAAGGTTTATTTTATTTGTTTGTTTATTTATTTGTGAGGAAGATCAGCCCTGAGCTAACATCCAGGCTAATCCTCCTCTTTTTGCTGAGGAAGACCGGCCCTGAGCTAACATCTATTGCCAATCCTCCTCCTTTCCCCCCCCAAAGCCCCAGTAGATAGTTGTCTGTCATAGCTGCACATCCTTCTAGTTGCTGTATGTGGGACGCCGTCTCAGCATGGCCGGAGAAGCGGTGAGTTGGTGCACGCCGGGATCTGAACCCGGGCCGCCAGCAGCGGAGCGCACGCACTTAACCGCTAAGCCATGGGGCCGGCCCCAAAAGATTTTATATCCGTATCAACAGAAGGGTTATTTTCATGCTTAAAGGTCCTATTGGAATCAACTTTTTTTTTTTTTTTTGGTGTGGAAAACAGGTAAATGTAAATTGTTTGCTAAAGTGAAAATGTGAGCATGGACATTCCTTAAAACATGGTTTATATTTCAAAGTAAGTTTTCTTGTAATATTCCCGTTAAAAAGGAAAATCACTTGAACTGGAATTGATAATCTGGTAACTTCCATCCTGCTTTTATGTTTGCGCATCCGGAAAAAAAATTGCTTCTTTTGTTGTTGCTGGTGGTCAGTAATGCACGTATTTGTTTTTTCTTTTTAACCTTTTGAGCCCCTTCACCTGTTTCTCCCACCCCCTCACCCCGCCTCTGGCAACCACAATCTGTTCTCTATGAGCTCGTTCTTTGTTTTCTAGATTCCACGTATAAAAAAGATCATACAGTACTTGTCTTGCTCTCTTTCACTGAGCATGATGCCCTCAAGGTCCATCCGTGTTGTTGCAAATGGCGAATTTTCATTCTTTTTTCTGGCTGAATAATATTCCATTATATATATATGCCACATCTCCTTTATCCATTCATCCATTGATGGACACTTAGGTTGTTTCCATGTCTTGGCCGTTGTGAATAATACTGCAGTGAACACGGGGGTGCAGATATCTTTTCAAGTTAGTGTTTTCATTTCCTTCAGATAAATACCCGGATGTGGAATCACTAGATCATATGGTAGTTCTATTTTTTTTTTTTTTGAGGACCCTCCATACTGTTTTCCATAGTGGCTGCACCAATTCACATTCCCACCAACAGTGCACGAGTGTTCCCTTTTCTCCACACCCTAACCAACACTTGTTAACTCTTGTCTTTTTGATGAGAGCCATTCTGACAGATGTGAGGGGATATCTCACTGTGGTTTTGATTTGCATTTCTCTCATGATTAGTAATGTTGAGCATCTTTTATAGACCTGTTGGCCATCTGTATGTCTTCTTTGGAAAAATGTCTATTCAGATGTGACCATGTTTTAATCGGATCTTTTTTTTTTGCTATTGAGTTGTATGAGTTCTTTATATATTGTGGATATTAGTCTTTTAACAGATACATGATTTGCAAATATCTTCTCCCCTTCAGTAGGTTGCCTTTTCATTTTGTTGATGGTTTCCTTCGCTGTGCAGAAGCTTTTTAGTTTGATATAGTCCCACTTATTTGTTTTTGCTTTGGTTGCTTTTATTTTGGGTGTCAGATTTTAAAAAATCATCGCCAAGACCAATGTCAAGGAGCTCACTCCCTATGTTTTCTTCCAGTTTTATGGTTTCAGGTCTTAAGTTCAAGTCTTTGATCCATTTTGAGTTGATTTGTGTGTGTCGTGTAACATAGTGGTCCAGTTTCATTCTTTTGCAGGTGGCTGTCCAGTTTTCCCAGCACCATTTATTGAAGACACCGTCCTTTCCTCACTGTATATTCTTGGCTCCTTTGTTGTAAATTAATTGACCATATATGCATAAGTTTATGTCTGGGCTTCTATTCTGTTCCATTGATGTGTGTGTCTGTTTTTATGCCCATACCGTACTGTTTTGATTACTATAGCTTTGTAATGTAGTTTGAAATCACGGAGCATGATGCCTCCAGCTTTCTTCTTCTTTCTCAAGATTGCTTTGGCTATTTTGTTTTTTTATGGTTCCATAAAAATTTTTGGATTATTCTATTTCTTTGAAAAAATGCCATTGGAATTTTGATAGGGATTGCACTGAATCTGTAGATTGTTTTGGGTAATATGGACATTTTAACAATATTAATTCTTCCAATCCATGAGCATGGAATATCTTTCCGTTTATTTGTGTCTTCTTCAATTTCTTTCATCAATGTCTTATAGTTTTCAACATCTCCCATTACACTTATGATTTTATTTGTCCTCTCTTTTTTTCTTAATGAGTCTAGCTAAAGGTTTGTCAATTTTGTTTATCTTTTCAAAGAACCAGCTCTTAGTCTCCTTGATCTTCTCTATTGTCTTTTTAGTCTCCATTTCATTTATTTCTGCTCTAATCTTTGTTATTTCCCTCCTTCTACTATGTTTGAGTTTCATTTGTTCTTCTTCCTCTAGTTCTATGAGATGTAAAGTTAGGTTGTTTATTTGAGATTTTTCTTAAAGTTTCTTGAGGTAGGCCTTTATGGCTATGAACATCCCTCTTAGAACTGCTTTTGCTGCATCCCACAAATTTTCTGTTATATTTCCATTTTCATTTGTCTCAAGGTATTTTTTTATTTCTTTTTTGATTTCTTTGTTCAGTAACATGTTGTTTAATCTCCACACACTTGTCAAGTTTCCAGTTTTCTTAATGTAATTAATTTCTATTTTCAAACCCTTGTGGTCAGAAAAGATGCTTGATAATGATTTCAGTCTTCTTAAATTTATTAAGATTTGTTTTGTGGCCTAACATATGGTCTATCCTGGAGAATGTTCCATGTGCACTTGAGAAGAATGTGTGTTTTCCTGCTTTTGGATGGAATGTTCTGTATATGTCTCTTAAGTCCATCTGGTCTAATGTGTCATTTAAGGCCACTGTTTCCTTATTGATTTTCTGTCTGGATGCTCTATCCATTGATGTACGTGGAGGTATTAAAGTCCCCAACTACTATTGTGTTGCTGTCAGTTTCCTCCTTTAGGTCTCTTAATATTTGCTTTATGTGTTTAGGTGCTTCTATGTTGGGTGCACAAACATTTACAAACATTCTATCCTTGTTGGATTGACCCCTGCATCATTATGTAATGATGATTCTCTTTGTTATTACAGTCTTTGTTTTAAAGTCTATTTTGTCTGATAGGAGGATAGCCACTCCAGCTTTCTTTTGGTTTCCATTTGCATGAAACACCTTTTTCCATCCCTTCACTGTTAGTCTGTGTCCTTACATCTAAAGTGATGTAAGATAGAGAAGAGTCTTGTTTTGTTATTCATTCAGCTGCTCTCTCTTTTGATTAGAGAATTTAGTCCATTTACATTTAAAGTAATTATTGATAGGTTGTACTTATTGCCATTTTGTTAAATTTTTTTTTTTTTTCTGGCTGTTTTGTGATGCCAAAACATTCTGTTCCTTTCTTCTTCTCTTCTTTCCTCCCTTGTGTTTGGTAACTTTCTCTAACGGAATGCTTAGATTCCTCATTATCTTTTGTGTATCTACTGTAGGTGTTTGCTTTGTGGTTACCATGAGTCTCACATATAACAGCCGGTATATATATCAGTCTATTTTAAGTTGATAGCAAGTTTAAACGCATTCTAAATCGCTACATTTTTACCCCCCCAACACGTTTTGTTTTTGATGTCACATTTGACATTGTTTTATTTTGTGTATCCCTTAACTAACTAACTTATTTTTCCTGCTTTTGTCTCTAACCTTCATACTAGCTTTGTAAGTTATTAATCCACTACTTTTACTATATATTTATGATTGTCAATGAGGTTCTTATTTTCATATGTTTTCCTGTTACTAATTACATCCTTTCTTTTCAGCTTAAAGAAGTCCCTTTAACATTTCTCCTGAGGCCACTTTAGTGGTGATGAACTCTTTGACCTTTTGCTTGGCTGGAAAACTCTCTACCTCTCCTGCAGTTCCGAATGATAACCTCGCTGGATAGTTTTCTTGGAAGTTTCTTCCTTTCAGCACTTTGAATACATCATGCCACTCCCTTCTGGCCTGCAAAGTTTCTGCTGAGAAATCTGCTGATGGTCTCATGGGGGTTCCCTTGTAGGTAACAAGTTGTTTTTCTCTTGCTGCATTTAAGATTCTCCCTTTAACTTTTGGCATTTTGATTATAATGCGTCTTGGTGTGAGCCTCCTTGGATTCATCTTGTTTGGACCTCGTTGGGCTTCCTAGATCCGGATGTCTGTCTCCTGCCCCAGGTTAGGGAAGTTTTCAGCCATTCTGTCTTCCAACAAGATTGCTGCCCCTTTCTCTCTCTCTTCGCCTTCTGGGACCCCTATAATGTGAATGTTGGTCTGCTCGGTGTTGTCCCATAAGCCCCTTATGCGATCTTCAGTTTTATTCACTTTTCTCTCTGCTGCTCTGACTGGGTGAGTTGCACCGCCTTGTCTTCAATAGACGGAGCCTTTCTTCTGCTTCATCTCGTCTGCCGTTCCACCCACTAGTGTATTGTTCCATGTGGTCATCATATATACACAACTGAACTGAAAAATCCCACCCTTTATGAGACCTGTGGGTCTAGTTCTCCACAATCTGATCAAGACTGCTGGAGGGAGGGCTCTGAGCCGGGCACTCTGTGCAAGTCAGAGATGGGAGCGTTCTGTCAGTGCCTGCTGTGCCATCCTGGGGCAGACCCCTCATCCTCTGGGGGGATTTCCCAGGAACAGGCTCACCAGGTCAAAGCAAAGGCCCATCTTTGTCCCTCTCGGGCAGCGCTGCTGCCAGGATGTGTTCCAGAAGGAACTGCCATTTGAGGTTCTGCTCGAGCAGGTTTCCCTGCAGCTCCACCAGCTCTGGGGTTCATCTCTTTTCTTCATTTTTAGTAGTAACGGTCCCTCCCTGAGGCTTGACTGTTGCCATCGTGAGCGTATTTCCACTCCCTTCTCTGCACTGCAGCCTCTGTTCCTTAAACTGTCCCCTGCTGCCCCAGGGCCTTTGTATGTGCCACTCCCTCCTCCTCGGGGAAGCCCTCCTGGTGCTCTCAGACCAGGGCCGGCTCTGGCACCAGAGGCCCCTGGAACAGGTACTCATGTGTAGCTACACAATTTCTCCTTTAAACGTGAGCTCAGCCTCCCTCCCAGCTGGCCCAATGACTGGGTGGGGAACGATGGCACAGGGTTCCCTGAGGGTCTTCCCAGGAGCATGGGCCCACCCACACGCTTTTCCTGTGTCCCCAACCCATGGCTCAGGCCAGACCAATGACCACTCACTCAGCGTCAGCCAAGACCACTTCCTCCTGGTGCACCTCCAGGCCAGGGGGGCTCCCTGGAGGAAGGGGTCTGCAGGTCTGAGAGGCTGGACAAGGTAAGGAACCCAGGAGTGGCCAGAGCCCTCATCCCTCCCTGGTGTCCCCTGGGGGAGAGGCAAGAAACCTCCCTGAAAGGTTTAGGGAGGATCCTGGGAGGTTGGGGAGGTTGGAGCAGAGAGGAAGGGCTACAAGGGGGCAGCCTCCCCCTCCTCTGCCAGCCAGGGTGGGGGTGTCCAGTGCTGAAGGACGGATAGGGCCGAGTGGGGACGAAGCAGGACCCCACGCTGCAGGCCAGGCCTCTGCACCCTCAGTGCTGACTATACACGGCAAAGAGGGTGAGAAGGCCCATCCCAGAGACGGGCAAGCCGGGGCTCAGCCTGTCCCCTGCCCCCGCCCCGGCCCTCAGCGATGACTACCTGTCCCTGGAGGGGCCCCGCTGGGCGCCGGCCATCAAGCAGGCCACACGCTGGAAGTACACGCCCATGGGACGCGACGCGGCCGGCCAGCTATGGTACACTGGCCTGACCAACTCGGACCCCCGCGAAGCCTGGTACATGCTCCCGCGGGCCCTGGAGAGCCCCTATCGTGAGGCTTACGCCCGCTGGTACGGATGCTACAGCCACCGGGAGCGGAGCATGCCCTCGGGTGAGCGCCCGGCCAGCCCTGGGGGAGGGCGAGGGCCAGAGACGCAGAGCTGACCCCCTTCCTGCCCGCAGCCTACACCCAGCACCTCCGCGAGGCTGCCTGGCACGACCCCGTCGTTCCCGCGCAGCACGAAGCCCCCAGCCCGCAGTGGGGGAGCACGCTGTGGGCAGACAGAGCCGTCCGGGGCCAGGAATACGGTGAGGCCAGGGCCGGGGCCGGGGCCGGGGCCGGGGCTGGGGCGGGCTGGGGGCTGGGGCTGGGGCGGGCCGGGGACAGGTGGTGACCAGGTCCTGGCCTCCAGTGGTCAACAGGCACCAGCACGGGGTGGAGCCACCGAGGCGGGTGTCCGACTACGTGCCGTCCCTGTCGGCGCCCCAGCGCCCGCGCTGCACCCGCCAGCCCCACCGCCACTGGGACCTGCAGCCCTACTGTCCCTCCACCGGCCGGCCACCCACTGATACAGACCCGCGGTGACGCCAGCTCCGTGCGTCTGTCTGCGTCGGGGACGGGCCCGGGCGCTCAGATAAGGGAGCCACCGACCATCACCCCGGCCCCTGCCCCTCCCCGCCCGCCCGGCCCCAGCAAACAGCCACTGAGGTCCTCGCCCCCACGGGTGGCTCTTTATTCACTCGGGGCAGCCCCTGCCCGGCCCGCCGAGCCCCCGGGGCAGTCCCGCTGCCCCCATGGCCGGGGCTGGGCCCAGCCCCCCGACCCCGAGGCTGGGGGTCCCGGCAGGTTCAGTGACGACGCTGTCCCTGATCCCAGCAGGGCCGGGTGTGAGCTGTGAACTGGGCTGAGCTTAGCGCAGCCCCTGGGTTCGGGGACCTGCACATCCTGCCCCCACACAACACAGAGAGGGCCCCTCAAATCATCCAGAGAGCCAAGATCGGGGCACCCCCAAACCCACGAGGACCCCATGGGCCCTGGATACCAGGGGCCCTATAGCTTGCTGTCCCTGCCCCAGTGGGATAAGCCACCGGGGTCCTGCTCGTCCTGCCCGCGCCCACCGACCCCGCAGCCAGGCAGGGGTGGGGGGGCCCAGAGGAGCAGGGGGCCGCCCCCGGCCTCACTGGACATGGAATGTGCAGTCGCGGTTCCTCTACACAGGGCGGGGCCACGTTGGAGTGTCAGGGCCGGGCTCCAGGGTCCCCTGCAACAGAACGGGGTGGGGTTAGTGGGGGGGCCTATCCGTGTCCCACCACCCGGGACTGGTTTGGGGGTTTTTTTTGGGAGGGCGGGCTACAACTCACAGCTGCGCACGCGGATGGGCCAGATGAGGAGGCTGCACAGAGAGAGGGCGGCCGCCACGCCCACGCCGCCCGTCACGGCCACCATCACCCAGTGGTAGAAGCCCACGCAGGCCCTGCAGCACAGCTCCACGCTGGGGGGGACACGGCGGTGAGCGGACGCCTGCGGCACCTCCGGCCCCAGCCTGGACCCCCCTCCCCACTCCTCCCATCTAGGCCGTGGGCAGCCCAGCCTTTCTCAGTGCTCAGGCCAGAACCAGGGGGTCACCCTCCACCCCCTGCTCCCCGCTGCATCCCACCCTTCAGCCAATAATGTCGGATCTGCCTTCAAACTTACCCCAGCCCCGCCCACTTCTCCCCCCTCCTCTGCCTCCAGCTGGTCCCCCATCATCGCCCCCCTGGACCAGCTCAGTCACCTCCATCCTGGTCCCCACAGGCTGTCCTCCCCGCAGCAGCCACTCCCCTCAGCGGCTGTAAGCCCCTGAGTCAGGTCCCCCTCCTCTGCCCGCAGCCCTCCAGGGCTCCCACCTACCTCGGGGGAGAAGCCCACGTCCTCCCTGCCGCCCCCCAGGCCCTGCACGACCTGCCCCGTCCCCTCCCTACCCTCCCTCCTCCCTCTCTCCCCCTCCTCCCTCTGCTCCAGCCACACGGGCTCCTCGCTGTTCCTCCCACACATCAGGCCCGGTCCCACCCCAGGGCTGTTCCTCCCCGTCTGTCCGCCTAGAACTCACTCCCTGACACCCACCATGTCTCAGGACCAACGTCACCTCCTCAGGGCAGCCCTCCCTGACCTGCTCCAGTCAGGCCTCCACAAGCGGTGTCCCTCACCCCCACCACTGGTCTGCATCACACACTGATTCGTGGAACAATTAACGAGGCTGGTGTCGCCCCAGCCCCACGAGGACAGAGGACTGGGCCGGCTTTGGTTTGTGGATCCCGGGCTTCTACAAGGCACACACTTGGTGGTCTGGAACCTCGGGTTCTGAGGGTCCAAGTTACACAGATTCCGGGCCCCCCAGCCCTCCACACCCACACCCCTGGTACTCCTGTACACTGTGTCCTCAGCTCCCAGCACACAAGATTCAGCGTTTGTTGAATGAATACACGAAGTGCCCAAGGTTGGGAACAACCAGGTCTCCGGGGCGGGGAACCCCCCAGGGCAGGGTCATTTGTCCCCACGGAATCCCCAGACCTGGAGAGCGGTGCCTGCACACAGCATGCTCTTATTAAGTGAACGAATGAATGAATGAATGAATGACACTCACGAGCAGGGGTGCAGGCTCTGTATAACCATGACCGCCAGCCCGTTGGCCACCTTATCCGAGAAGCTCATGGCGCCGTACACGAAGGCTCCACTGTGCTGGGGGCACATGGGCAGGAGGTCAGCACCCACGGCCGGACTCCGGTCCCCGCCCCCACCCCGCCCCTGCCCAGCAGCCCTACCGTGTGCGGGCCGATGAGGTCGGCCGTCATGGACAGCGAGGTGACGAGGATGGTGGCACAGCCCGCGCCCAGCAGCACGGCTGCCACGTACACGGCCACGCCCAGCTCATCTACCAGCGCCACCCAGGCCGCGAAGGCCAGGATCACCAGGAGGCCCACGAAGTAGGTCATCTGCAGAGGAGGCCGGCCCAGCATCAGGCCCACCTCACTGGGCGCCCAGGAGCCTGGCGCTTGCCCTCTCTGGTCTTCAGTCCACCGCCCTCCTCCCACAAATGAGGGGGTCGAGTTGGACCGTCCCTAAGGAGCCCCCAGCTCTGAGCTCAGAGGACCCTGAGATTCTGAGACCCAGAGGAGCCAGGAGCTCCGAGGAGCCGACATCCTAGAGCTGTCTAACGCGGCTGCCGCCAGAGACAGCTATTTCCAAAATGCAAACCAACTAACAAGAAATAAAACGAAGGCTCCTGTTCCCCATTTCAAGGGCTCAATGGCCACTCCCAGCTGGTCAGCACAGAAAGTTCTAGAGCTCCACAGCCCCGAGACACTCAGAAGCCAGGATTCCAGAACCCAGTTCCCAGACCCAGGGCTTCTACGAGGCGCGAGCACCACGGCCTGGACTCCCCCGGGGTCCTGGGGGTCTGAGTTCTGGGGGCTCTGCGGCGGGAGGGGGGGTCCCCCGTCCACTCACGTTCCTCCCGATGCACCTGTTGACTGGCTTCATGAGGAAGGAGGAGAAGAAGCCACTGAGGTACATTACGAGTGGGATGGTGGCGATGAACTTCTGCGGGGCAGAGTGGGCGGGGCACTCAGGCCTGGTGGTCAGCTGGGCCCACCCCCCTGCCGCCTGGCCACCCTGCTCACCTTGGGCAGGTTGAGGGAGTAGGTGAGGTACATGGCGATGTACGTCTGGGACAGGTTCACGATGAGCCTCGTGCTCATGTACAGCAAGCCCACCTGCGGGCCGATGGGCAAAGGGACGCCCAGGGGTCAGACGGGGCCCTCTCTGCTCCCCTCTCCGCTCCCTCCTGCCCCTGGCCCCTGCTCCATTAGTAGTGTCTGCCTAGCCCATCAGGTGAAAAGAGAGCACTGATCAATCAGTAATGTCTGCCCTGGCACCTGATCCATTAGTAGTGACTGCCTAGCCTGTCAGGTGAGAAGAGAGCACTGATCGATTAGTAATGTCTGCCCTGGCACCTGATCCATTAGTAGTGACTGCCTAGCCTGTCAGGTGAGAAGAGAGCACTGATCGATTAGTAATGTCTGCCCTGGCACCTGATCCATTAGTAGTGACCGCCCTGCAGGTCAGATGAGAAGAGAGCACTGATCGATTAGTAATGTCTGCCTTGACACCTGATCCATTAGTAGTGACTGCCCAGCCCGTCAGGTGAGAAGAGAGCGGTGATCGATTAGTAACGTCTGCCCTGGTATCTGCTCCATTAGTAGTGAGTGCCTTGCGGGTCAGATGAGAAGAGAGCACTGATCGATTAGTAATGTCTGCCCTGGCACCTGCTCCCTTAGTAGTGACTGCCTGGCTGGTCAGGTAAGAAGAAAGCACTGATCAACTAGTAATGACTGCCCTGGGTGCAGACTGCCGAAGGAGTCACGTTTGCCCCGATATTTGCCATCCCTGCCCACAGCCCCGCAGAGTCAGGGCCTGGTGGGAAAGGGGCGTCCACTCCAGCCCCCTCGGCCCCCATATACCTGATAGAAGGCCGGCTCCCGAAGCCAATGTTTCCAGAGCAGCAAGGGCCGGGCTGTCGCAGGGGCCAAAAGGGGGCTGTGCTCATTGGGCTCCTCTGCCCGCGGCCGGCGCCCCTCCCGGGTGCCCAAGTGGAACAGCAGCGAGAAGACAGCGCCGACACCCACCACAAACAGGGAGAGGTTCTGGGGAGCAGACAGGAAAGCGGTCAGCGGCGGCTCATGCGGCCTGAGCTCGGGGTCGGGGCCCTGGGGGTGTCCCGCCCGGGCCCCAGCTCACCCGGAACACTGGCACGTCCTGGACCCCCAGGTGGTCCGCTGCATCCTCGGCGGGCTCAGCGTGCGCAGAGCCCTGCAGGTGGAGCAGGAGCCAGGCGGCCCCGAAGACGGTGATGTTGGCCACCACGGTGAAGGCATACCTGGGGGCGGGCAAGGCCTCAGCGCGCAGCCCGGGAACCACAGGGCCACCTCCTCCTGGGCAGCGCAGTCAGGGCCACGACCCACCGTCTGAGAGCCCGAGAGGCCCGGAAGCCAGGATGCTGGCATTCTCTCCCGGGCCCCAGTGAGGCGAGGTCTAGAATGATTCAGAATGGTCTAGAATGATCTAGAATGGTCTAGAATCATCCAGGGCTGCTCCTGCCTGCCGTCCCAGAGCCATGTCCCTCCAGGGCTGGGCAGGGGGCAGAGGCAGGGCACGGGGGCGCCTCTGATCCCACCAGGCCCATCTCCCTTCCTGAAAGTGGGAACAGACTACCCCAGAGGTCCAAGTGCGGATGATACAAGGCTGGTGGTAACACGCGCAGAGGCCAAAGGCACGCAGAGCTCGGCCTTGGCTGGCCTGTCAGCTGGGGCCCTCGGGGGCCGGGCATTGGGCAACCCTGTCGTTAGGCCTGCGGCTCTCAGCAGGAATGGGGAACTCAGGCGGTGGTGGGGACACAGGCAGGGCCTCGACGAAGACGCTGTTGTGACATCAAGAGTAACGTGCACTTACAGGGCACCCACTGGGACCACGCCGGCACCTCACACCTGCTGTCCCTGTGTCCCCTCCCACTGCACATGTCCCAGGGGCACCCACTCGGCTCAAGCCCTGGCCTCGGGCACGTGACAACCTCCCGGCCTTGTAGGGTTAAAGCAGGTAATTCGCCTGAAGGGCCTAGAACTGCATCCGCACGCAGCAGGCACTCCATAAATGCTCCTATTGTCATCACATCTAGAATCACCTTCAGCACCTCAAGCAAGTCGACAGAGAAGCCAGGTGCCAATGGTACCCACATATGGCAGGTGGGACTCTAAGATGGCCCTGGAGATCCCCCAGCCCCAGGACCACACTGTCTAGTCCTCTCCCCTTGGGGACAGGGCCTGTGAATGTGAGCAGCTGTCACTCCCATGTTCAGGTAAAGGGACTGTGCAATGCAATTAAAGGTTACCCTGGGTGGGCCTGACCTAATCAGGTGATGCTTAGGCTGAGGACTTTGTGGTCCTTTGTTACACAGTCACAGCTGACCGATACATGAGTTGATGGACGGACCAGCTGGGGCTGGGCATCCCCGAGCGGCACAGCCGAGCGGAGCCCAAACCTGGAGGGCCGGAGGCGGTACCTGAGGGCCGTGAGCTCCACCTTCTCATGGTCATTGGTGACGAGCTCCGGGATGAGGCTGAGGTGGGCGATCTGTGTGGCGGCCCAGCCGAACTGGAAGATGACGATGAAGGGGCCGTAGTAGAACAGAGCGGCCCACTCGGGCGTGGCCGGCCCACAGCCCAGGCATGGGCTGAAGATGAAGGGGAAGGACAGCAGGACGCACACGGTGCCTGTGGACAGGCGAGGACAGACGGGGAAACTGAGGCACAGAACAGGCTAGGGTGAGTGCTCTCGAGGTCGCGGGCTGTGACAAGTGCGGGGGCAGGGCCAGGACGTCAGCCAGGTGATAAAAAAGGGGGGAGAACACGTGCCAGCCCAGGGTTGGCCCCTTGGTGACAAGTGGGGAAACCGAGGCACGGAGAGCCTGAGGTCACGCAGTAGGCCGACAGTGCTGTGGCTCCACCAGACGCACCATTTACACCCACCGCTTTCCCTCCCGCCTCCCTCCCAGCTCCTATCGAGTGTCCTGTGGTGCCACCGGGGGTCAGGAGGCCCATGAAGCTGGGCGGGCCCGGCTGGACCCTGCCCTCTGAGCCCTGTGTCCCCGAAAGCACTCCAGTAGCTCAGAACAAGCTCACGTCCTCCCCATGGCCCCTGAGACCCTGCCCCATCCCCTCCCTGCCCTCCCTCCTCCCTCTCCCCGCCTCGCTCCCTCTGCTCCAGCCACACGCCAGGCCGGGTCCTGCCCCGGTCCTGCCCCAGGACCTTTGCACGGGCTGTGCCCTCTGCCTGGAACGCTCTTCCCTTCACATCCCAGCAGGGCCGGCCCCTTTTCATCCCTCGGGACTTAACTCAAATGCCACCTCCTCAAGGAAGCCCTCCCTGACCAGCCCGGTCGGCGGCAATCCCCTCCCAGCCTGACACACTCTCTGGATGCTGCTCTCTTTCCTTCACCCCCCCTTAGCACACGCAGGAATTCTGCGTCTGTCTGTCTGTCTGTCCCCTGCCTGCCTCCCCAGCCAGACTGTGGGCTCCGTGGGGGTGGGGAACCGTCCCTCTAAGTCACTCCTGCGTCCCTGGCACCTGGCACAGAGACGGGCACAGCAATGGCTTTCGAATGAGTCAAGAAGAAAAGGGGCCTCTTTTTACAACCAAGGGGCGGGTGTTATCAGCGCATTTTCCAGAAGAGGCAACGGGGGCCATGGAGGGAGCGCGGAGCCCAGAATCCTGGAGCCGGCCCCTCCTCCCCACCCTCCCCCCACCCCTCCGGCAGATGGCCTTCCTTCCTCCGCAGGCTCAGGGCTCGGCTTGGGGTGACCTCATCCCTGGCCCCGGCCCGCCCCCAGGTCCTGGAATCGGGAACCGAAAGCAACCCGCTTCTCTGGAACTGGGGCCTGGAGGCCCCCTGGGGCCCGGCCTGACCCGCAGACTCTGCTCAGAAGAATGTGCTGCCCTGGCCGGATTCCCCCCTGCTGGGCCGAGGCCGGTTAACCATTGTCAGTGCTCGGCTGCCTGGCTGGGGGACTCTGGGTGAGTGACTTTGCCTCTCCAGGCCTCAGTTTCCCAAAAATGGAGAAAATGAAAATACTATGCGTCTCACGAGGTCGGCGTGAGAATTAAGAGTTAAAATGAGACAGCGAGAGTTCCTACCACCATGAGCCCCTTCTCGCCTCGGCAGCTTCAAAGCTGTGTTATTTCACACCTTTGCACAAGCTATTTCAGCTACCTGGAATGTCAACTCACACGCACACTCCTATTCATCCGTCAAAACCCCAACGCTGATGTCCCCTCCCAGAGCTCTGCTTTGTACGAAGCCCAGTCAGTGCACCTGCCCCAGCCGGGACCCCACAGGAGGGTCCATGTCTGGCTCTGGGGGTCCTCTCTGGCCTAGAGGGGGGAGCCCCAAAGGCTTGGTAAGGGAAAGAGTGAGTCTGTCACCACCACCCACAGACTCGGGCAAAAATAGAGAAGTGGGCACCATTGCCGAGGTGTCCTTTACTCAAGTCACCTTATCAGGCGTCACGAGGGGCTGCCCCGGCTTCCTCTCCCCCCGATCTTCCTGCGTCCCCCCACATGCTCACCCCGAGGGGGGAAGGGGCGCAGATGGAGGCTTTGGTATCGGGTCAGGGTTCCCATCCCCGGGACTGTTTTGCGTGAACACAAAGCCTTCAGTTCTTTCTTGACAAAGGTCTCTCCAGGCCTCTGCCAGGGCCTCAGATCCTTCCTCTGGGGTCAGGAGTGACCCTCTCAAAGGTCAGGCCCCCCACCTACGAAAGGGGCAACCAGTCAGGCCGGCAGGCTCCAGCTGGTATCGGGTCCCACCTCAGGGCCTTTGCACACGCAGTGTCCTCCGCCAGGAACCCCTTCCCTTGGCTGGCTCGTCACCCCCAGGGGTCTCCCGTCCGCCCCAGAGGAAAGAGCCCCCACTGCTCCTCTCTCTGGCCCAGAAACCACCCTGTCAGGGCAGCAATGAGTTTACCCAACTATCAGGAACAACTGCCTTTTGGGGCTCTGGGCTCGGCTCTGCCGGCGACCCCAACGTGAGCCGGGAAAGGGACGCCTCAATGTCCGTCTTCCGAAGTGGCGGTCACCGAGCCCCCCGCCTCTCCCCGTCCCCTCCCCCCACTCTGGTCTGGGTGCCGCCTCCGCGCCCAGGAACCCAGCACCCAGCCCTGGCTGCGGCCGCTTGGGTGTCTGCTGTGTCTTGTAGAAATGCCACTCACGAGGCCCCAGGGCCCATCCCGGCCTCCTCAGTCACTGTCCCCAAGGGCAGGGAGACGGCAGCCAGCCCTCCTGGCTTCTAGAAAGCTGCCCCGGAACTCCCAGGAGCAGGCAGGACTCCCGGCTGCCTCCTGGCACAGTGGCCCACAGGCCAGGATGCGGCGGGCACTTCTGCGGGGACGGTGGCCGGGCGGGCAGGTGTCACGGGCTTGGGGGACCCGCCTGCTCTGCTACCCACAGCCCCTGGTCCAGACGGCTCCCCAGAGCCGAGGGGCACCTGTCCCCCACCCTGCACACCCTCCTCCCTGTCCGCCAGCCATGCACAGCCCCCCGACCCTTCTGTCCCACCAGCCCCCAACTCTCAGCTCCCAGGGCAGCGCCCCCAACACCCTCAATGGCCAGGTCGCCCCAGGTGGGGCAGGGGACAGGCCTGTGCTCTGGGGGGACGGACGGACAGAGGGGGCTCCAGGCAGCCGGACCCTCAGGCACACAGAGTCGTCCTGGGTGATCGCCCTGATAGACAGATGGAGAAGGCAAGCCAGACCCAACAGACTGACAGAGGAGGCGCTGGGCAGTCAGGCCCAGCCCAGAGGCGGTTCAGGGGGCCCTGGGGGTCAGACAGACACAAGGAGGCGACACTGGAGGGTCACATAAACAGTCAGGTGGAGGGGGCTCTGCAGGTCAGACGGCAGCCATGAGGCAACAGACAGAAGGGGTACAGGGCGGTGAGACAGACAGACCAGGAGGCCCGTGGGCTGGGCAGATAGAGGGGTGCTGAGGGGGACAGAGGGGGGAGGTTCAGGCCATGGGACAGACAGACAGAGGGGGGAGGTTCAGGCCATGGGACAGACAGACAGAGGGGGGAGGTTCAGGCCATGGGACAGACAGACAGAGGGAGGAGGCTCAGGCCATGGGACAGACGGAGGAGGGCGGCTCAGGCTACGGGACAGACAGGCAGAGGGGGGCGGCTCAGGCCATGGGGCAGACAGACAGCGCGCAGGCGGAGGATGCGCAGGCGGGCGGGACTCACCGACCAGGTGCCAGGCCTTGCGGGGCCCGCAGCGCGCGCAGCGGCCGGCGGCGCGGTCGGCCTCGTAGCCCACGAGCGGCGTGCAGAGCCCGTCGGCCACCTGGCCGAGCAGCAGCAGCAGGCCGGCGCCGCGCGAGCTGTAGGCGCGCACCGAGTGCAGGTAGAGCAGCAGGTACGTGAACCACATGGACGCGCACAGGTCGTTGAGGAAGTGGCCCACCGCGTAGCTCAGCCGCGCCGCCAGCGACAGCGACAGCGCCCGGGGGGCCGCGCCCGC